CCTGGGAAGTGCGCACAGACAGGAGACGGAGTGGCATTTTGAAAACGCAAACAAACAGAAATATTCTTACAAAAACATGCCCTATTGTTGTATTCTTTGCAGTAGGTTCTTTACAGGAAAAATGGTTCCTTTTCATTCAAAAGCATAGAGCAAAGCCAAGGGGATTCTGGGAGTCCAGAGGGATGGTTGGGCAGAAACAAGCTGACTATAAGTTTCAGAGTCAGAAGACAGGAGATGGGAGGGTCAGGGATGGGGCAGATTAGACTGTACCGGCACAGCTACAGTTGTGGTGGCCCGGGCCAGGGGCAGATGCATGATGGAGCTACTCACATGTGGCCCCGGAGCGGAAAGGCTGAGAAGATAGAGCCCTATCCTAAAGGACAAGACACCCTATCAGAAGTGCAGGCAGAACACACATCGGAAATGGATGCAGCTATGGTCAAACAAGAACCCATATGTGCCCAGTTCTGGAGACAGACATGCATAGATCAGATCTCTACATCCATGGGGCTCCCAATCGAAAGCACTCATGGAACTACTGATGGCAGAGGAGGTGGTCAGATGATGGCAGAAATAGTGCAGAAGTCCAGTGGAGGATCACCAAGCTTAGCCTAGGCTCCCTAGGTACAGAAAGCTTCAAAAAATGTGTTTGGGAAGTGAAAAGCTAGTAGGCAAAGAGGAGCCTGGGTGGCATAATGGTTATGCATTGGGCTGCTAATTGCAAGGTCAGGAGTTCAAAACCAGTAGCCTCTCTTCAGGCGAAAGAAGGGGGTTTCTATTTCCATTAAAAGGTACAGTCTTGGAAGTTCCCAGGGGGCAATTCTACCCTGTTCTATAGGGTTGCTATGAGTCAGTATGTACTGGGATTGAATCTGTTTGTTTGTTTGTTTGGCAGAGAAGAGTGGATTCTTTAGGTAGTGGTTCTCAACCTTCCTAATGCCACGATGCTTTAATACAGTTCCTCATGTTGTGGTGACCCCCCAACCATGAAATTATTTTTGTTGCAAAGATACAGCGCCAGGGGTCTTAAAGGCTTAAAGGCTTAAAGGTAAACAAGCAGCCACCTAGCTCCAAAGCAACAAAGCCCGCATGGTAGAAGCACACCAGCCTGTGTGACCACAGGGTGTCGAAGGGATCAGGTATCAGGCATCAAAGAACAAAACATCAAATCATTGTGAGTAAGAGGAGTGCAGATTGGGGACCCAAGACCCTTCTGTAGGCAACTAGACATCCCCTTATGAAAGGGTCGTGAGGAGGAGACGAGCCAGTCAGGGCGCAGTGTAGCAACGATGAAACATATTACTTTCCTCTAGTTCCTAAATGCTTCCTCCCCCGCCCACTCTCACCACCTTCCTCCCCCGCCCACTCTCATGATCCCAATTCTACCTTACAAATCTGGCTAGACCAGAGGATGTACACTGGTACAGATAGGAACTGGAAACACAGGGAATCCAGGACAGATGATCCCCTCAGGATAAGTGCTGAGAGTGGCCAGGAGGAGGAAGGGAAGGAGGGGTAGAAAGGGGGAACCAATTACAAGGATCTACATATACACCCTCCATGGGGGATGGACAACAGAGAAGTGAAGGGAGATCAGGCAGTGTAAAAATATGACAAAATAATAATTTATAAATTATCAATTATCATCCTACCTGGAGACACAGCACTAAGAGAACATACCTACAGACCTATCGTAGTGTGTGGAGAAGATCCAACAAGAAAAAGAAAGGGGAGAGAGAGAAAAGGCTTCATCTACCAGACTAACAAAGGAGGCACTAGCCCTTGTCTAAGGAGCCCTAGTGGCACAATGTGTCTGCTCCAGCAGACAAGACGGACAGTCTGGGAGCCCTGTAGCAGTTCTACTCGGTACTGCAGCGTCTTCAGCCGTGGGCACCGACTTGACAGCTGCAGGTGGAATCACCAACTCTCCCTTCCCTTCAAAAGAAGCCCCTTCCACGGGAAGCCTGCCCCTCCTCTAACACTCCTCAGTTGGCTCTCTCTGAAGGAGGCCATCTTTCCTGAGTGTTTACACTGCAGCAATTCACTAGGCATGGTCTCTCAGCTCACCACCATCACCGGCAGAGAGAATGGCCCTTGGGCTGAGTCTTAGGGACACATCTGCTTCTCCTGCAAATGCCTGGCCAAGGAAATGGTAGCTGTAGAGGATTTGAATCCTGTGGGTGTTGGCCTGGCTTCTCTAACCCCACACTTCTCTGCTCCCTGAGAGTCCCATTTGTCCTCCAGCTTGCTGAGCGCATGTTCAGACTGAGCAGGGAACTCCCCTCTTTTCAAGACAGCAAGACGGTGACCCAGAGAATTTTTCAAAGAAACAGCCCCTCTTAAGGAATTCCATGATAATATAGGTAGGAATGGTAGGGCCTTGCTGAGAAGGATAATCCCATCTGGCAATGCCTTTCTTTGTAGTCCCCAAATAAAAGCAGACTCCATTCTGCTAAGGTGGCTAAGTCTGGATAAAAGAACCATAAAATTAAATTATAGAGAAAAATATTTTTGGAAGTCGATCAGGAGATTCAGATTAATAAGTGCCTATTTTCAGATGGCCATTGTACCAACAGATGCCCTAGCTCACTGATTAGACTTTCAGCTATGACAAGAAGTGGTTCGCATTCACTGTTTACTCCATCCTCTGCATCACTTGATCGTCTGTCTCGCATGGTTTATGTTAAGTAGCCGGTCAAAATAAGTTGAGTTTCATTTAATTACTGGTCTAAGCTTTTGTAAATATTTGTCTCTACTCCCTTCATGTTTCCCCCTCCACTGGGGGCTTTATGAAAGACATAACCCTCTAAGTGGCTCATATTAAGACCCATCTTTTTGTATAGTACATTTTGATTCATATGCTCTTCCTCAATGCTAAATTTCCATAAAAAGGGTTTTTAAATGGTGGCTTCTCTGCTGACTTGGAACTCTTACGGTGAACACTTGATTGGAGATGACAGACAGAGGCACACATCGGTTTTCCCATGAATCTCTGTAAGGATCAGGGGAAGCCTGGGTTTGGTCGAGTGTGCCCAAATTTTGGAGTTAACAAGAACAGTCCAAAAGCGTGAAACAGAGGTCAGTTCATCGGGCTGGTTAACAGCACCCCCTCGTTGCACCCCCAGTTTCTGCAGAGGTTAATGAATAGGCGGACTCACCGTCTGAGTCATGCTACCCTAGAGGAAATGGAATGTCAACACATGGGATAAGGTGATCCAATTTGATACAATTACTGTCTCTCCATATACTTTGTGGTTCTCCAGGCCAATGGACCCCCATGATAAGATTAACATAAATGGCCAAATGACGGCGGCTTCCCAAAGCTCTCATTTCAATCCTTTTTTAGTTATTCATAGAAGGTTCTTCTGTCATGAACTCAGTTGGGGAAATCTGGCCTGTAAACAAACATCACTGTGATCAGAAGCTGGGGTTCACCATAGTCCTCGGGAAGAAGACAGCAGTGTGGGCACCTCCACTTTAAGGAAGCGTTTCTGTAGACACCCCAGAAGCCTTCCCATGTTGTGGGTTTATTTTATTTTTTCATGAACAGCCCCTTTTAGCCCCAGCACACACACTGAGTTACCTATTTTGAAATAGGAATTTCTAATCATACATGACATTTTCACAAAGAGAAAAGAACCTTCGTTAGAAAATAGATTCTCTTCTCCTTCTTCCGACTTTATAGTCTCTCTTCTCCCCCTTAGCGGCAGCGAGCGCAGCTAGCCAGGGCTGAGATCTTGGAGGGATGGGAGGCAGGGGTTAGACGCACACTCCATGAGCCTCCCGGCACGGCAAGGAGCACAAAAGAATCAGAGCCCCTTCCAAGCCAGGGCTCCCGGGGCCACCAAGTTAAACTGGAGCTGATGGACGATGGCGCCATCCGCCATCTTTCTTCTCCTTGGCTCTGAGTGTGGGCACCGGGGTATGTTCCGCTGGTGATGGCCCTTTCTGGACATGCCAGGCAGCTCTGTACACTCAATCACCATGGATTTATAGCGCTGCTTTGCCCAGATCTGACCAAAGGAGGTTATCCACCAGACAGGCAAACATCGGGAACACACTATTGTAAAAAGCAGTCACATCTCTCTGTTTTCTGCTCAGTCATTTGCGCTGAGGGAATCAGGGTTAATTTCTTCCGAAGTCTACTTTGCTACTCCAGAGTAAGGGCGGGCTCTGTTGGTTCTATTTCACCTCCACGCTTTTCCAAGAACTGAGTACACAGGAAACAAGCCACGGCTTCGCTGCTGACGACCATGTGCTGCTGTGATCAGCAGGTTTCCCTGTTTCCGTTCATTAGGACCCAGCAGCCTAACGCGTAGGGAAGTCATCGGCTTCTTTTTCGGTATACCACAAAACCTTGTCAGTCAGTAAGGCCTGATTATTTCATCCTCAAAATGTTTCTGAAACTCACTACTATGTCACCATTTCCACCAATAAACACCCTAGGGTAAACATCTATCATCTCACATTTTTTTAGTCATAATCTCATACACCCATAGACAGACATACAAATGCATATATAAACATGTACACGGTTATGTTAGACTTATACAGTAATAGCTGTTCATACATACCTGCACATGCAAAAACATTACATTCACAGACATATTCGTGCAGCTATTCATATACTATAGACATCTGGATTTTTAAAACTTTCTGTTGAGTCCATTTAACTCATAGCTACCGTATAGGACTCCTCCACAGCGCTTCCAAGACTGTAAGCTTCATGAGGACAGGTAGCTAGCTACTGCTCTGTCCCACGAGGTGGCTGGGGAGGTCAAGCCCCCAACCTTGCAGGTGACAACAGAGTGCTTTAAGCACTGCATCACCAGGGCTCCTTATGCACATAGGAGGGGGCTTGAGAACTTCATGGAAAAATTCAGTTCTCTTTTCATTCCATTTTCCACAAATTTTTGGAAGCTCCCTCATATACAGACTCCCAAAAGTTCCATTTGGGGATTAAAAAGTTTCAGAGCTCACATACACAGAATAGAACTTACCGGTTGGCCTCCCCACCATCTATGATTAAATTTCTCTCGTCCCCGAAGATGGAAAGTGGCATCAAAGACAGGATCATACATAGAATTCCCAACAATTCCATGTGACTCCGGATAGAGCCCCTTGGTGGAAAAACAAAGTTATTGTTAGTGTCTGCCTGAGGAGCAGACGTAAACGGTCTCAGCAAAACTAATAATAAACTAGGTCTGATTGCTTCAGTGGTAAGATGTTTTAACGGTTGTACTTCAATAAGATGGCAATAACTTTCAGCAGGATGAACCACTTTTAGTTTGAAATTTACATATTTATTTCTAAAGAAGCTGCTATTTCTAAGGGCATTTTTCTGTCTATCTAAATTCTACTCTTCTCCAAAAACTACCAAAATTAAATCATGATAATAAATGATACTTTTTTTTTCTTACAGAAGAAAACCTACATGAATTCAGAATCCATTTCTTTCCAAATTGACGCATATGCTTACATACAATGTCTTGTTCATGTAGTCATTTTCTGATTAGGATGTCCCGGTGTTTATTTCAAATTTTCCTGAAATTATGTTGTGATTTAACAAATTTCAAAAAATCTAACACCACTAAACTGTCTCTTCGTAAGAGGAAGGACAGTAACTAGCTATCTCTTACTATTTTTACTAAACAATTTACTGGGATCATGAAAAAAAAGAAGACGGAAACCAAACCAAGCTCATTGCCATCGAGTCACGTGGGTCCCTAGTGACCCTCTAAGGGCTTCGGAGAACTGCCCCCATGAGTTTCCAAGACTGTAACTCCACACAGGAGGAGAAGGCCTCCTTTTTCTCCCTTGGAGCAGCTGGTGTTTGCGAACTGCTGACCTTGTGTGGAGCAGCCCAACACATAACTACTATGCCACCGGGGCCCCTTTAAAGAAGAAAAGTGAGGAGGAATTGGGGGAACGCGAATAGTAAAGCACAGCGGTTCTGAAGTCAGCATTTTTGTTTGCATCCTCTGAACACAAGTGATAGAAGGGGACAGAACTGCATCTGCTGGAAGATTTCAGTTTTAAAGTTGCAAAGAAGTATAGTTGCAAGCCACGAAGTTGTAGAAAGCATTTGCAGGAAAGGGCTAACGCAGAGACTTTTCTTTTAACACTAAGGATCCTGTTTTAAGAGTTCTCCCTGTTAAGTCATTGCGGAATGCAGGCAGTCCTGTGAGTAGCGATCATGTGGAAAAACTACTTACGGTGGCCAAAGTGTATAAGTTAGGGAAGGTTTTGGTCGGGTACACTGGTCTCATGTAGGGAGAATGCGTGCCACAAGATCCTGGGGATAGAATTCCAAGTATTAGAATCAAGAGAACCAACAAGATCCACTTCAGATGTGGAGAACTGCTTTACAAACTACCAGCACCTTCCTATATCAGCTGAGAAAACACCTTGACAAGGATGTGTCCGTGGACCTCCACGCCCATCACAGTTGTTAGTGCATAGATCACGAGTTAGAGGTGAGAACACTGAATGAGAAAATTACTTACTTAGTTTTTCAATGTTAGGCATGACCTTGCTGCCCTTCTTCATGTAGGATGCACGGAAACCATCCACAGAAAAGATGATTAAGGGAGGACGAACAAACCTTCAACGATAACAACATTCAGCTTTAGGAAATGATTACGGCAGAGTTTCCATCACTCCCACTTACCCTCAATAATTGGGCCAGTCATTTCTAAGATGCAGTTTTAAGCAAGGCCATCTGTAGGATGCTGAATGTCTAGCCACAGGGCATTTGAGGCTCTTGAAGTCTAAGGCTTACAAGGTCAAAGTCATCCAATGGTCCGTGGAAGGGACTTGACTCTACAGAAGTCCTCCCCTGCTGCCTGTCACGTTGTAAACAACGTTCTTCACAATGCCGTCTTACCTGGAATTCGCCCAAGTAACACCTGGTAAACCTATGCCTCTTTTACAACTCAGCCCAAGGTATCCTCTTTTATAACATTAGTGGCTCTCACTTCAGAACTCCTTTATATATTAATTCATACCTCTTTTATAATCTATATTACATAATGCCGCAATGATCTGTTAGCATGTTTCTCTTCCCCATGCGTTTCACAACAGAGAAGATGATATCTTATTCATCCTTCAATGCTGGGGACCACTAGTATGAGCTCAATAAATATGAAATACATTAATAAATGAATGGATGGATGAGCTCATGAAGGAACAGATGGATATGAAATTGATAGCAGTCACAATCTTATCATGAAATCTAAGTATATAAAATAAAACTCCTTTAAATGTATTTATACAATTGTGGCAGAGTGAAATTTCTTAACATGGCTCTTCTACAAATAGCTCTGTAACCCCCACCAAATGATTGGGTGGGGCTGTGCAAGTCAGCCCTGAATAACAAGCGGGGCTTGGTCAGTCTTAGCTGCCACCTCCCTGGCGATCAGGATATGCCATCTTTGAAGCAGGGGCGGAGAGAAAAGTCTCAGGAGCAATGGAAGACCAGCCACCGGTGTGGCATGTTCGAGACCTCTGGCTGCTACTGAAGTCGCCGAGGCAAAGTCCAAAGGCCCCAGACCGAGGGCAAGGAGACAGAACACAGCAGTAGCACCAAGACTTGGGACAGTGAGGCAGAGCAGCAGACTGGCTTCCCGGCCTGCAGAGGCAGAAGCCAACGCATGACACGGCTGAGAGGCTGAGGATTAGTCTTGGCCACCGGCGGAGGAGAGGTGCTGCTGTGGACCAATGACTGTATTCTTACCATCTACTAATCCCAGCTTGTGACAATCTGCTAGCTCCCCTCATTAAAAAATAAAAAAATAAAAAATGTTCACTGCCGTGACTGCCACAGTGTCTATGCTGACTCAGAGTGACCCCCTGTGGGTTTCTGAGACTGTAACTGTTTACAGGAGCAAAGAGCCCAGTCTTTCTCTCTCGGAGCTGCTGGCGGTTTCGAACTGCCAACCATGCGGATCACAGTCCAACATGTAACCACTCCAGGACCAGGGCTCCTGACTTGTGAGTATTGTCTATGTGACCGCTGCAGCGAATCATCAAAGCCAGCCAGACATAGAGTGCCTGGGGAAGCAGAGTTGGTATTAGCACAGGGTAAGGAAAGACAGAGAATGGAAACATGTCTGAACTCCACCTTGCAGCAATAGGGAAGCCATGGGAGGTCAGATATGCATATCCCTCCCACCCCATCTTCCTGCTGTTTACTGAAAAAGATTGTTTTAAATAATTAGCCTATTGGCAATCACTAAAATGTGTATCATCAATAAAAGGCAAGGCTGCCATGTAGCCAGGCCAGGGTCTGATGAAATAGGCCCCTTAAATCATTCTTAAGAGTTCAATCAGACTTGAGAATACTCAAAAAAAGTGAGAAGCTATTTCTACCTGTTCAGAGATCATTTAGCAAAGCCACATAATAAGGCTTTTAATTTTCACTTTAAATGTTCAAATGAGTCACAGAAATCAAAATTACAGAAGAGTACATTATTGTCATTTGGAAGAAATTCTTCTATGCAGACAATATTTTCCTTTAAAAAAGAAAAAAATAAGCGGAGTACTTTTTTAAACAGCCATAAACTATTGACATTTCACTCTTCAGCTACAAGTCCAAAGATGTCAGTGGTGCACTGACTCAAATGGGAGGAAAAAATAAAGACAATATCAAAATATTTGGGTTTTGTGTTCAGGACTGCGCTGTGTAAAAAAAAAAAACCATGAAAAAACAAGTGCATTACTGAAAAAACATTAGTTGAAAGCATATTTCCTGCCAGGCATTTGATGGTTCCGTGCATTTTCGTCAGTTGCCTGGTAGGAGTCCTCAGTGCCTTGGGGTCCCACTTGTGCTTGGTGGGATGTCATTCAACCTCGACTGTGACCCAGCAAAGCAGTGCCTTGTGTACTGTCAAGTTTCTGCAGCATCTGACAGGTGGTCACATGTTGGATGATGTTTCAGAAGGAATCTAGTCCCAGAAAAGGCAAAGCAGCAGCATTCCAGAAAGCAAGAAGGCAAATAAAAGTCAAGGAGAGGGGTGTTTCGTCCTCTCCAGGGCTAGGGGGCGTGCTTCGTGGAATTGCCAGCTGAGGTGGGATACAGGGAACATGCAGGTGTCAGGACATGCAAAGACGAAACCGCCCATTGCCACCAAGGTGACTCTGATTTCACGCTGACCTCGGAGGTGTGAGAGTAAGCTGTGCTCCACACAGGTTTTCCAATGGTTCCTTTTTCTGAAGTTGATTGCCCAACTGTGACCATGTTGGCAGGAGCTGTGTTTATTCCCATGTACCCACCCATTTCCTGTTTATCGATAAATAAAGAACACTTCCTGGTACTCACAAAATGCACTTACCCTGCAGGGCATTCCGGGGCCTTTATTTCTTCACAATCATCATCTACCCAATGTGACTCTCCTATACAGAAAAGGGGGTAAATGTATTGGTAAGACGACTTGTAAATGCCACTCAGAGCCTGGCATAGCAGATTCTGGGACTTATAATCTGGACTTTATTGCTTATAGGACATTATCTAAAAAGAAATTCTGAAATAAAACCTAACAACGTCTTTGGTTTTCTAAAAACACAACCTATATCGTGGGAAAATGATGATTTAATAACCCAACCTGGTACTGTCCATGCGTGTGAAAAGTGGACGTCGAATAAGGATGCCTGAAGAAGGTGGGTGCGTTTGAATTATGGTGCTGCCAAAGAATACTAAGAGTACTGCATGCTGCCAAAAAACCCAGACAAACAGATCTGTCTTGGAAGAGGTGCAGACAGAATGCTCCTTAGAGCAGTGGTTCTCAACCTTTCTAATGCTGCGACCCTTTCTTTTCATGGTGATCCCCAACCATAAAAATTATTTTCGTTTCTACTTCATAACTGCAATTTTGCTACTGTTCACAGGGCGACCCCTGTGAAAGGGTCATTCAACCCCCAAAGGGGTTGCAACCCACAGGTTGAGAACTGCTGCCTTAGAAGCAAAAGGGTGAGACTTCCTCTTTTGTACTTTGGACATTTGTCAGGAAAGACCAGTCCCTAGAGAAGGAGAGGAACATGCAAAAAGAGGAAGGCCCTTGACAAGATGGGCTGACACCGTGGCTGCCACATAAGCACCATCGTGAGGGCGGTGGGCTGCCACCGTGGCTGCCACCGTGGGCTCCCACATAAGCACGGTGGCGCAGGACCAGGTGGTGTTATAATGCTTTGGACATGGGGCCGCTGTGAATCAGAACTGACGTGGTGACCCCTGACACCACTACAATAATTCAAGTGCAGTTTGTGCAAGCCTTCACAGCCCACAGGATAAGGTTCCAGTAGGGTCTGCGGTCTTAAACGCTTGCAAGCAGCCGCTTAAGCTACATCTACTGGTCTGTACTCCTGCGGAAATACCAGCAGCCCAAAGAAGAAACTGACCATTAAGTCTGACCATTGGGCATCAGACTGACCATTCACAAGCACCTGGTCTTCAAACCTGAAACCAGGAGAAGAACCACGACCAGCCATTCTGAGCAGGGGCACAACCGAAGGTGTGGGACGGGAGAAAGTTCGAATTCCTAAAAAAAAAAGCTGAGACCTACTAGATCAACAAAAGCCAGAGGGGAAAAACCTGGAAACTATTGCCCTCAGACACTCTCTGGACTTGGAATTGAAGCTATTCCTGGAGCTGGAAGTGATTTCAGCCAGACATTCGATGGGCTTATAAAATAGACAAATCTCCTGAGGGTCGTGGGCTTCTTTGAAAAACGTGGGAGCGACGGGTGAGTAGTTTCCCCAAAGCAAAGATGCGATGGTCAAGGGGAAATGGGAAGTTAGATCAGTGGAAACAGAGCCAGGGAAGGGAAATCGTGCGAAGGCTGAAAATATCACAAAACTTGTCACCCATGTCACAGAACAACTGGTATAGAAATTGTCCAAGAGAAACGTAGTTTGCTGTGTAAATTTTCACCTCAAACCCAATAGCAGAGTCATCAAAAGCAAAGGCCACCGTGGCGTGAGTGAACCCTATATAATGTTTGCCTCCCTCCAGAAACAAAACTGATCGTTACTTGGAAGGTCCGTTCCTGCCACTGAACAGCTAAGAGTCAGAGAAACCCTGACAAGACTTCTTCTAGACTTAGAACATGCAGGAAAAGAATCACTTTTCAATGAACCCTATGTGCAGAACTTGAACTTTGAAGTAAGCCAACGCTCTCATCTAAATTGATCTTCCACCAACACCCAGAGAATAAATCTAAGTGTTTTGTTAAGTTACTTCTTTTTAGATAGAGAAAAGAAAAGGGCTAACATCTGAAAATAAGACTGTTTTTGGAGAAAAAAATTAAACTAGTGAATAATAATAATAATACAGTTGCCTTAACCAGCCCTAAGGTGAAGGAAAAGTACATCGTTAAGTGGTAGGAAACTTTGGGCCCCACACTTTGGAGAAAGTACACCAGCGCAAAGACCCCTGGGAACTTGCCACTGTTGATTAGAATCTAAGGACGGATGACTGTGTGAGCAATGGCTATGCTCCTAAAAAGAGGGAGAAGAAACCCTGGAAACCCAGCGGCTAAAGCCCTGCACTGCTAACTAACAGGTCTGTAGTTCAAACCCACCAGTCAAGAGGAGGAAGAGGTGACACTCTGCTACCGTGAATATTTAGAGGCTTGAACCCCCTACAGAACAGTCCTGCCCTGTCCTGTGGTGTCCCGCTGCGCTGGAATCAACTCGTTGGCAGGGAGCAAAAGGGGGAAGCTTTGGCCACACACTGCAATAACCCAGGGCACACAGATTAGCTTTAACAGCGTATTGGCACTAGACTTTACAGCCCAAAAATCAAAGCCAATTCATAATAGTTTATTTTTTCAATTCGCCTTTGTGGCTGATGGGCCCTTCTACACAAGGAGATAAGAAGAGGCCGGAAGCAAATTCTAAGTCAACTGTATGTTTTGTCAACAATTACAACAGTGGGTTTTGCTTTTTGGAATTTTCAAATTCAGAATTCATATCACACCCTCTCGGCAAGACTGGGCACTACCTGGAATTCACAGATGAGTTGCTCTTCCCTGAAGTCTTGTAACAGAACCCCCTTCTAGTACTTTCCGCAGCACTTTGCAGCGCACGGAAAGGAAGAAGGGCTTGCTTCCAAGACTGAAAAGGGACTAGCGAACATTACCAGAGGATTCCTGGGTCTTCCTTCTAAGGTCTACCTTCTATGAAGTAGGTGCCGCAGCAAATTCCTTAAAGGTGGGAATTACATCTTTTTGTTTACTGCAGCTCATTCATTGACTATTATTAATTAGAAGACTATCTAAAACCCATTTAAACCCCCTGTAGGTCCAGCCTAAATCACAGGGGCCCCCCTACAGGGTTTCCAAGACTAAGTCTTTATGGCAGCAGACAGCCCCATTATTCTCTTATGGAGCAGCTGGTGAGTTTCAATCACTGACCTTGAACTGACAATCCAACACGTTCCCCAGAGTGCTGCCAGGGCTCAAATAAAGGCATCACAATCTGTACTCAACCATACAAGGTCAGTACATTTGCATGTCTGGCTTTGGGGTATAAGCGGAGCTGCTGGGGGCCTGATTCCGTTCACTACCATGTTCCCTCTAACCCTAAGTTACAGCCAAGGTCTCCACTCACAGCTGACACACCCTGCACAAAGGCTGTGCTCCCTTGCTTCAGAAGAACAGCTCTCCAGAAGCCAGAGTAGAGCAGGCCGAGTGGAGACTTTACCTGAAACCAGTTCCTTGCTTCTGACCCAGCTCACATGCCCCAGGTCAACTTCTTAACTTCCTATGCTTCCTGCTAAGGTCTGCCTGCAGAACACTCCCTCAATAAACAATGTGCCCAGAACCCCTGTCTCAAGCTCTGCATCTAGGGAACCCAACCTGAGACCGAGATAGGAGGAGGTCTTTTGAAATCTCATCACATTATTTGGGTTCTATCCAATTATGGAATGGGGAGTTCTTTTCTTATCGTTGGGGATCATGTCACTCCTCCCAGCCAAGCTGCAATCACTGTAATATCCGGGATCTCTTGAAGCATCTCCATCTTTCATTCTTTCAAAGCCCAGGCCATTCTGAGAAAACGCATACCTTTGCAAACCACTTGGTAATTAGTACAGCAGTCTCCCCTGGCCAAGCAGTCCTCCGAGCAGTGACACGCATTGTCTTCATTTCGTACTTCTCCACATCTGTCCTTCGTGCACTCCCAGCCACGAGCTGAAAGCATTACAATGGAACACTTTCACGGCCGCACACAAGCCAAACGAGAGGGGCCACAACTGCCTGCAGATGCTGCCAATGGCAAGAGCTAGTCTCTCAAGTCGTTGAATCTGCTTGGGTATTGTGCGTTGCCCCGAGGCCTAGATACAATTTGGGGGATTTACAAATAGGATGAATTTCTAAAATTGTAACTTTGGAGTACAAAGACCAAGTGCAAGTTGACTCCTTTGAAAAATGGAACCCTGAAAGACCAGAAAATGTCCCCTGCCATTCTGAAACTGCTGTTAAAAAGTAAAATCCCATGTATGATATCTAAGGTTTGTGGTAGGCTAGCTATCTTGGTAGGGACAGCCTCTATACTTGACTCTGTCACTGTCAGGAATCGCTTTACTTACCTTTAATCAGCTTTAATTTGAATACGACTGATGGAACAACGAAATGGCCTCTACCTGCTGTAGGTAAAGTCCTCAACAGATCTGAAGTAGTTCAGGAGGCTATTGAAGGCCTCAAAAAGACCAGGCTAATAAGGAGACTACACCTTCCATGAGGGTAGGGGGAAGGTGGTGGGGAGAAGAGGGAGAAAGGGGAAACTGATCGCAATGACTGATGCATAACTCCACCCCCGAGGGGGACGAACAACAGAAACATGGGTGAAGGGAGACAGCAGATGGTGTAAGATATGAAAATAATAATTATTTACCATTTACCAAAGGTTCACCAGAGTGGGAGAGTAAGGGAAGGAGGGAGGGGGAAAATGAGGAGCTAGCTGATACCAAGGGCTCAAGTAGAAAGAAAATGTTTTGAGGATGATGCTGGCAACATGTGTACAAATGTGCTTGATATCATTGATGTACAATGGGTTGTTATAAGAGTCCCCCAGTAAAATGATTTATTTAAAAAAATACCTGGCTTATTGGTCAGTTAGAGGTTGGTGGGACCACCCAAGAATATGGACCTTAGTCATCCTTCAGGGCTGGAGCAGACCTCACCCTTGGGTTAGAACAAGCAACCATTTAAGATCCAAAGGGCAGTGTTTACCGGACAGAGGGTTCGGAAAAGAGGGACATGAATCCCTGGGGGGGAAGGGGAAGAAGCCAGGATACGCTGAGGCATTGGAATGGAAGAGCTGAAACAAAAAGGGTGTACATTGTTGACGATAAAACTGGTGGCCTGCTCTTTAAACATTCACCTAAACCACAAGAAAAAATTTCTTTAAAGAAAGAAAAAGCAATACTCAAATGCCAACCAGTGACAAACCTGTCAGTGCAAGTCCGAGATCTGACTTTCCAGGAGGCTGGTGTGTGGGTTACAGATTTCTATCGGGGCATATCTGGGAGAGAGCTCACAACTCAGCCCTCCAAGAGGACAGGTTCAGAGAAGTAATAGTCTCGTGTGTGTTTTTTAATTCTGCAGTTTTAGTCTTGTTTGTTTGTTTTCTGTCTGCTGGACTCGACAATGAGCTCCATGACAAACAAACAAACAAAAAACCACATCTCTCTTTTCAACATTGTATCTCAGCGTCTGAGATTGTGTCCCGTGCATGCTAGGTACGCCAATAATATTTAGTAAATGTCACTGGAAATTACCAGGAAAACAATATGGCTCTTTAAACTTAAGACTGCTGTACTGAGAAACTCCATATGGTTAGTCATTTAATAAATATTTACACAGGGTCTCCCATGGTCTAGGCTGCAGGGGTGTATCAAAGAATGACACAGATAAATTCCCTGTCTCCAGGGAGCTTCCATTCCCGTTGTAAAAGACAGACCATCAGCAAGCAAATGGCCTACAAACCAGGTCATTCCAGACTGTGCTGAGCGCTGTGGAGGAACTAGCAGGGTGGCACTGACAGAATGATGAGGTGGTGGTCAGAGTCACTGTAAGAAGATGAAAAAGAAGCAAACACTGACGGGTGCAGGAGCCTTCGTTCACCTTCCCGAGAGGATGGATGATCCTTCAGGAAAGGTCAACACCCACCACCGATACAGGCCAGAGCAGAGTGGCAACTCCAGGTGCAGGGCAGCAGGGGGTCTAGGCATCATTTCTTTGAGAGTAGGGAGAACAAAAAGAGTCCACACCTGTCTTCAAGCAATGTTCATCAAAGTCATGGCAGCAGCTGCTGTAGCTCTTACACAGGTTGTCACACCGACAATCAGGGGGTTCCAGCTCTTGAAGTTCATAGCATCTGCCTTTGCAGGATCCAGAGGTGCTGATCCAGGGGGAATCTGATAGCACTGCCAGGAATAAGATGACAGGAGATAGGAATCAGAAGGGAGTCTTGTCGTCATGAGGTGAGGGGCTAGCAAGGAGTGCAGTGTGGTGATGTGATCCAACTCTAGATTAAAGGTCTGGCTCCATCCCAGCACCCAGCAGCTATGGACCCTGGACAGGTTACTTAATATCTTGGAGGCACAGTTTCCACGTTTGTAACGGGGAGGATTTACAAACATAAGACGAAGTTGTAATGACAATTAACTCAAACAATCCATGAAAAACACTGAGCAGAATGTCAGAGTTCTAGAAAGCAGAACCCATGTTGGCTCTTGGCTTTATTACTATTAACAATGACTGTAATTGCACATCTGTGCATGGTGGGTGCTAAGGACGCCCAGCAAGAACAGCACTTTGGCCCAACACTTAGAAACAAGAGCTCATTTGCCTCTTTAAAGGCCACAGTTTACTTATACGGGAAATTGAACCCACATGTCCTGAGAAAAGACTGAGGCTACGCGAATGGAATGGAAGATGTAAGTTCCCTTCCAACTGTAAAACCTACACATAAAGCTAGAGTTCCTCAGACACCATGTCCAGACTCGACCTGTCCAAAGCAATGCCCCTGTGATTACCTTCGGGGCCTAGAACGTGCATGTCAATACAGGCCAAGATTCAACTAAAATATTCATTTAAAAACAGAAAGTCAGAGAGGAAACAGCAGTACAAAATAAAATCCAAGTTTCCTTCACAGTAGACCCCCCACCCCCCAAGGTAAAACATCTTGGTATAAATTTGTAAGACATGTGTATGACCTATGTGAGAAACACATTAAAACTCTCTAAAAGAATACTCCAAAAGGTTGAATTAAACAGCATACCATCTTGGAGGTTAATCTGTCAAGGAGATAAAAATGTTCACTCATCCTAACTAAGTCTAAAGACGTAATGCAATGACAATAAAATTAGGTTTTGATGTGATATTTGTGGTATATACATCGGCATTTCAAAAGACTTAGATTATTGACCCAGGAATTGCATTGCTAGAAATTTATCTCTCATGCATATTTGTAAAAAGGTTTCCAAGTTACATCTACAGAATATGGTCATTGCAGTCTTTTTGTAAGGAAGGGGGAAACTATATGAAATTAGCCAAATCTATATGCTCCCATCCAGAAAGAATCCCTAGATCCAGAAGTCGACGATGGAAGCAGTGACAAAATAGATGAAAGGGGCTTGTAACAGTTTTTATAAGAACAGAGTACAGAATCGTGGTATAGTAGTAAATAGCGTGTGTTTTGTGTTGAAAATAGAGGTAGCGACTATGATAAGAATAGAAATAAAGACAGAATTAAAAATGGAATGACAGCTGGAGATGAGGAAGAAAGGAAGGAAGGAGAGAGGGGAGGGAGGGAGAGGTAGAAAGGTTGAGAAAAGGGGCAAGTGTGTGTCATTTTTTAAGGTACAGGTATGATACAAACCTGTTTTTCACCCCTAAGAACGTGGTTCAGGCATGTTCATTGGGGGAAAATGACACTAAGGAAGGGGCCTTTCTGTCATTTAAGTCTCCAACTTTCACATGTATTACTTGATCCACTATTCACTGCAAATTGTCTCATGTTTCTATTTCTTTGCGAGTCCGTTGCTCTCTGTCTCTCGGTCTCTGTCTCTTCTTTGTGTAGTTGCTAGGTGTCAGCAAGTCCATTTCTGCAGCATTGTCCAAGTCGTAATCTTTCCACAAGCAGATGGGTCTTTCCCACAGTGGGTTTGACCCAGGAACTTTTGTAGTGAGCAGCCAAGCACTTAAACCTGCTCCCAGGGTTCCTTCTCCCTTTTACGGAAATAAGTAAATTTCCACATGTATTATAAATAAATATCCTAACCTATGTTCTTGATGACACACGATGGGCATTTTCTCATAGATACGCACATGTATTCTTTACCATGAGTGTTACTCTCTTTAGAGTCAAGGAGGACCAAAAAAGAGGCCTGGGGAGAACAGATGGTAAATGGAATTTCTAGGTTCAGCCAAGCCATTTCTCTGAACATCCTGCTTCACCCTGAGTCCTCTGTTCTTTGAGAGGCACCTAGCCCTAGCTGTGATGACGGCACATCGGTTCAACTCAAGCAAACAGTCACTAGACCGTGAGATGTGAAACGTTTTTGCATGGCTGATTCTGGGAAGTGGAAATACGTACAAACCGCACCAGTTCAGTTTAGGAAATAACATCAGGTTTTCAAATGTGGTGCCCTGCCTCTGATCTGAAAACCACATTGTTCTATTGACTTTGGCCAACATACCAACGGTAAGAAACTACAGAGAAGGAGAGGTAGAGAAGTAACAGGGGGAATGGTGGAAAGCAGGGGGACAGGAAGATCAAGGGGGAAATTTACCATTGAATGATTCTTTTTATTTGGGGTCCTGCAGAGACAGAATCAGTACAAGTTCCTTCAATACGTTTTGAATAGCACGCCTTCCCCTCGGCTGCAGATGTGATCTGCTTTGCTCTGCTCACAACTGAGATCAGAGGCGCGAAAGGCACTTGTTCCCTGAGAGGACTTCAATTAAAACATGAGTTTGGATATATAGGAGGCGCCCTGGTGGCATAGTGGGTTACAAGTTGGGCTATTAACCACAAGGTCAGAAGTTTGAAGTCGCCAGCCACTCTGAGTGGAAAGACAGGCTTTCTATTCCAATAAAGACTTAGTATCAGAAACCCACAGAGACAGTTCCATCGTGTGCTATAGGGTCATTCTGAGTCAGAGGCATCTCAATGATGGTGAGTGTGCGTGCGTGCGTGCGTGCGTGCGTGCATGCGTGCGCGTGTGTGTTTAAGGATATATACAAGGAGGCTTAGAAAAATCCATGGGGAAGTTCCATTGCTGTAAATTCCATTTTTCCACAAACTTTTTAAAGTTTCCTATTGTGTATGGATGTGTGTGCCACACAATTATATGTACTGCTGATTTTTCACAGAAACATGATTCCATGATTTAACAAAGAAGAAATGAGAGAAAAGATTGAAATGGTAAAGGATCTCATCTTGTTTGCACCCACAATCAATGCTCATGGAAGCAGCAGTCAAGAGATCAAGCGACCTATTGCATTGGGTAACTCTGCTGTACAAGGCCTCTTTAAAGTGTTGAAAAAACAACGGTACTCTGAGGACCACAGTGCACCTAGCCAACCCATGGTCTTTTCAAATTGCCTTCTATGCATGTGAAAGACATTGAATAAGGAGACCGAAGAATTGATGCCTTTGAATTATGACGCTGGAGAAGAATACTGAAAGTACCATGGACTGCCAAGCAAACA